TGCGACTTTTCCTCCCGCCTCGGTGCTCCTCCCCGCCCAGCCCCATCTCTGCTTTTGGCGTCACTTAAGCGGCACACACGCAAAGCCGAAATAAAGAAACAAAAAAAAAACCACGCGCACCTACGGCCGCAGATAAACGTATTTAGAGGCTGCAACGACGCACAGGACGGCCACTTCGCAGTCATGCCTCGTCTATGCCTCTGCGCGCCTTGATATTTTTCTCGGTGCGTCTCGTGTCGATAGGAGCCGTGTGAGCTCGATGGAATCTTTGCCGCACGCCTTTTGTCTTATATATATATATATAATCCTTCTTTACTTTTTCATTGCAGCTTCTTCTTGTGGTGGTGGCGGCGGCGGCGGCGTCTGTGGGGCCGCGCTCCTCCCCGCCCCTTCCACAGCAGCGCCAAAAGTAATAACAATAGTAATAGTAATCGTCGTCGTCCTCGTAGCGAGAAAAATAATCTACGAAAACAAACCAACAAAAATGGAGGGACGCATCCGGCCGTTGTGAATGACAACGGCGGACTCCCACTCTATTTTTTTTCAGCGTGAGGGAAGGAGGGGGGTCTCCGTTCCCGTTTGTTTGTTTTTTGTTTTTCGTCTCGTTTTGGTTTTGACCGCCTTCGTCCTAATTTACTTTGCTGCTCTCTTTTTCCCCTTCCTCTTCGTTGCCTGGCCGATGCACCCAGCCACGCCCCGGTTACCCTCCCCCGTGGGTGGGGCCGCGACGGCGGGAGCAGAAAGAACGAAAGAGAGGAACACACAAACACACAAGAGAAGAAATATCGCTACTTCCTGCTGTCCTTCTCTTGTGTGTGCTTCTGCGGGCCCCGGCGTTGCCCGCGTCGCCTACCCGCGCCGGTGCCGTTGCTGTTGCCCCCACTCACCGCGGCCGGGCCCGCGCCACCGCCGCGCCTATGGGCGTGGAGGTGCGGGTTGAAACCGGAACCGGTCCCCTCGCCCACCGCGGCGGCGTCCTCGGCGTTGCCGTTCCCCCCCGCCTCCGTGATGGGCCTGGCATTCTTCACGTTTGGGTTCGTGTTCTCCATCCAGATCCGCACACCTAAGATGCGGTACAGCTCGCGCACCAGCGGACGGAAGTCGACGCTGTGCTCGCTGTTAAAGTAGAAGCTTACCTTAAACATGTCAAACTGGTACTCGCAGTCCTTCGGGTCTATGTCGATGCCCAGCTCGTCGCAGAGCCTTCTGCAGGTCTCTAGGGCCACGCGTTCTGAGTTCGCCAAGGTGCCGTGCAGGTAGGTGGTCTGCTCCTCCGTCGCCAGCCCCAGCACGCGTCCCTTCTCCAGCTTCATCTTGTCTGGGATGACGTTCGTGCCGTCCATGCAGAAGGAGTTGGTGCTGCCATCGGGCAGTGTCTTTATGGTCTGCACAAGCAGACCGCAGTCCCTTCCACGATCCCCGTCTACCGTGACGTAGCTGCCCGGGGAAATGTCTAGCGAGCACTCGTACTTGCGCACCCGGCGCCGCTTAAACTCTACAAAGGCGAGGAACGGCGGCACCTCTTTGGGCTGCGCGGAGGGCGATTGCTCCACAGGGGGGGGCGGGAAACCAAGCAGCGACCCTCCGCGTCCCCGACCACGACCCCGGACGGGGGCCTCTATAAAGCCGTGCCCCGTCGTCCCCGCTGATGCAGCGTGCATGGCTGACGAATCCCCGCCAGACGCAATATACGTTGGGCTTGCCATCGAATACGCCTGCGCCGTGGATGCTCCAACCTCGCCACCGTACGGGGTGAGCTGCCCCGAGGTTGGCGTGATGGCCTCAAGCTGTGAATACGGCTGTTGTTGTTGTTGTTGCTGCTGCTGCTGCCTCATGGCTGTCGCCGCTTCCGCGCCCAAGCCAGACCCATCCGCATAATTACTGCCGCCGTGGTTCATTGATTCATTTCGTGCCTCCGGATGCGACCATAGCCCCTGGTCAGAAAACGCTACTGCGGCTGCTTGCGCAGGTGCACAAAAAAGAGGCGCACCGTTTGCGTCGGTCAGCTGTTGCTGCTGTTGCAGTGTTGGTGTTGCTGCTGCTGGTGGTGGCTGTTGTTGTCGATATTGAGGATTAGACAACTGCACCTCTGATGTGGCGAGGGCGCCCCTTGACGCCTCGCCTCTCGTCTGCTGGAACGCCGCCACCCCGTTCACGGGGCTGGAGGCGACAGACATGTCCCGGAGTTGAATGAGCCGCTCAATATCCTCGTCCAAGTGTTCAATCACTTTCCGCAGAACATCCACAGCGGGGAATGAGAGGGCGAGAGCCTCGGCTCTCTCAAGCTGGGCCGCCGCCATGCCTTTGGACTCGCCTAAGCAGGCCACGAGCCGCTCCAGCATCAGTTCTTTTCCTGGCATAAGCGCCGGCCGCGACCCATGGAAGCCATGAACATTTTCTGGCTGCTTTGTGGTGGCGGCTGGTGGCGTGGCTGTGCTAGAAGGCATAGAAGCTGGGTACTGTTGCACGCCGTGCCGTAGCTGCGGAGGCTGCCCCAAGGTGGGGGCGTACATGGAGGGCGACATCGCGTATCCCTCATTCGGCGGCACACCAGAAATCGGAGAGGCGGTGCGCATCCCCGCCACGTTGCCGCCGCCGTCGCCGCCTGAACGTGCAACGCCGCTCTGTTGGCTACTCGCCCCGCTGCTACCCGTGCTGGGGATCGTGGCGGCATCGAGTGAAGTGGCATTTGGCGCATGTGGCTGCAGCGGTTCTGAAGTCTGCGACTGTCGCTTTTTCGCTCCGCTGGCACACGACACCCCGCCACTGCCGCCCGAGGGCTCAAACGGCAGCGAGGGAGGGCTGAAGAGGCTGCCTATAATGGCCTCGTTGCCGCTGGCGTCCGTGGTGGCCATTGGCGTGCTTGCCTTTCCCGCACACCTCCTCCCCGCCTTGCCTGTATATATATATATATATATCTCTGTTTGTATGCACGCCTCTCTCTTTCTCGCTCTCTGTGCGCGTGTGTGTTTCACCTCGCGACGTCAACGACGGGGGCCGGGCGTGCGGCAAAACTCCAACGGTCCGGCGCAAGAACGACGCGCGGTCTGCCAAGCCAGACGCCTCCCCCACGTGCGTATAGTGCGACACAAACAAATGGAGAACAAAAAAAAAAGGACGTCTCCGCGTCTGCGCCTTGGTTTCCACTTTGTATGCTTGTCTTTTTGCTACTTCTTGTTTTCTTCTTCTTCCTTCAAGTTTCACTTTTCCTCACCGTTTTTTTTTGTTTGTTCCTTTCCTCAGAACGCCAGCAGAATCTCTCTCGCCCCTTGCCTT